TTATAAATCACAAAATTGAGTAAGATCAACGACGCATAATGGTACACAAGTTCACATGATAGCATTGATTCATATATATATATGTATATATATATATATATATATATATATATATATATATATATATATATATATATATATATATATATATATAGAAAAGCGCTCATATGTGGTCATGTCATTAGGTGTGGTCGTGTGGTCGTATCTGTGTCGTTGAATCAGTTTAATCTAATGGCAGTGGTAATTCTGAGAATTTTCACGCGTTTTGGTAAGTGGGGGTGTTATGGTAATTACAGTGGCCATTTATAGCGGGCGGGTTCTAGAATACACCAACAGTGTTGACAACATACACCAATAGTGTAATAAAACACACCACAGTGAAACACACCAATGGTGTATTCCCGTGTTATGGTAATTACAGTGGCCATTTATAGCGGCCGGGTTCCAGAATACACCAATAGTGTAATAAAACACACAACAATGTGATTTTCCCTATTTCGGTATTTTATGACGAGTTTACCCTTGCAGTTCGCTGGGTAGGAGGATGTGCGCGAGAATACTAGAAAAATCTTGATTAGTATGATTCATTGGATCTATCTAATCTAATGGCCTATAATTGACCATATGACCACACCTAACAACATGGTCACATGTGATCACCCCTATATATATATATATATATATATATATATATATAATGTTTGTTAATAGTTTAATTTATAAATTTCACTCGTATAAAATAAACTAGTATTTTTTATGCGCGCAAAAAATAGGTGCCCAATATTAGTACTTTTTATTAAAATTTTAAATTTATTTAAATTTTAGATATTTAAATTATTGTAAATAATAGTAATAATAATAATAATTATGTAAAACATTTTTATAAATTTGATATCTATATTTTAGAAATAAAATAACTAACATTTAACTCTAATATATAATGTATATATATTATTATTATTATTGAAGAAGATAAAAAAAATATATGGTGGATGCATGTGCATGGTAACAATAATGGAAAAGATAACTGAAATTATAACGGTAGGGGTATGTTTGTCCAAAATATTATAAAGTACAATTTTTATAGCATAATGTATAAAAAAAATTAACGGAAAAAATAGACATAAATTAAGGGTATAACATTCATTCACACTTATTATGTTTTTAGATATTTTGATGCATAATATTTTTTTAAAAAAATTGATTTTATGATTTTTTTTTTCAAAAATAATGTATACACTATACGCGGACTCAACAAATCATGTTATATTTGATTTTATTTCTTAAGTTGAGTTTTTTAATTGAATATATTTAATTTGTTACAAGATAGAAATTTTTAGTATTAAATTCACAAAATTTTAAGGGTTGGATATAATTGTCATGCATAATTAAGTATAGTTGTTACAACATACAAATGTTTGATATTAAATTATCAAAATTTAAATGTTTGGATATAATTTTTACAATGAACAAAAATTTAAATTTTAACTAATAAGTCATATAGCCTATTCAGTATATAGTTTCGACAAAGGATGTCTGAATGTTTTTAAGTTTTAATCGCACTAATAGTTTGCACATCCATATAGAAACTTTCTCAATCAAAAACATCACCAGCTCAAAGACATAAAGATTTCTTTTTTAATGGGACAAATCTTGGCGCTGTTTGGTAAAATAGTTAACATATCAATCAATTTTGGCTTGTTTGACTAGTATTAATAACTGTTTGACTTGGTTAAACAACTAATATGAGTGTTTCATTAATTAGTTTTTTTATAATAACTTATTGTTCCAAAACACTAAAATTCAAAAAGCTGTTCAGAACAGTTTTTTTTTAATTTATTATCTTTTTGAGAAAGTTATTTTATATGTAATCAGCTATCAGTAACAGTTAATTTACCAAAAATCTTTATACAATCAGCTAATGCTATAAACTAGTCAAACCCACTAACTCAAGCAGCTAACATCTTATGTTTGTCTTTGTTTCTTGATTTAAGAGTTCATTTTCACTCACCAAAAACATTCCTTCCCTCACACAAGATATTAGTGTGGTATACTTTATCAAAAGTAAGGCTAAAATGTTCAAAAAATGCTACATGTACTCTCAATTTGTACTCCCACACACAAAATTTTAATGTAGATACTTGTATTGGGATCCATATGAAAAAAAAAAAAAAAAAAAACCTTATCAAAATCCACCACATCAGGGGATAAAATTTAGAGAGTAAGATTAAAAAATACATGCAGTATAATTCAAAATGTTCAAGCTTGCTTTTCACACCCATCCCATCACTAAAAAATCATGGATTTTCATCATTCTTCTCCATCCACTTTTTCAATCTCTATCATTAACATGTCAAAATTATGATGAAAACAAAACATAGATAATACTCCGTATTTTTTTTTATCCATCACTCAAGGCATGGACAGAAAACCTCAACAAAATTTTGAATTCTATTAGACATTTTCCATCCATGAACAAAAATCATGTCTACTACGTTCATCAAAACTTGAAATCATTTGGATTTCACATCCAATAAGAGCATCCACACTAGGGGAGCAAGTGGGAAGAATGTATTACTTTTAATATATTTAATGCTTACATAGATGAGAGATAGAGTGGAGAAAGAAATTTGAGAAGCTTCTGCAAAGATGGAGAAAATGGCAGCATGATGGGACCTAGCAAAAAAGGAACGAAACGTGACAGCCAATCGTGACTGTCATGAGTGCACCCAGCGGGCGCGTGGCTGGGCCCGCGTGACTATCATTATTATATATTTTTTTATTTATTTTAAAATCAATTTTGTTTTGTTTTGTTTTTTTTTTTTCTCTCACCTCCCACATTCTCTTTCATAATTACTCTTACATTCTCTTTACATTCTCCCCAACTGATAATGTTGCTCTAAGGTTGTCAATTATGTAATGATTTTTGCACATGTAGACAGATAAAAGGTTGAAAAAAAGGCTAGTTCTATATCCACTAAAAAGAGATGAAAGTTCAGTAATTTTTAATAATGTCCATAATATGGTCAACTTGATGAGGTTATTATCTACGAAAATTGTACTTATACTAGACTCATGACAGCAAATAACATTAAACTAAAATTAGATGTCTAGAAGGATCATAGGAATTAACTAGACTACTAGAGAGTTAAACAAAATGCCATTTCCTACATCCAAATACTTCACAAGGGATAGAACAACAGTTGTCTAGTAGAGTTAAATTATTATTATGATGTTACTAACAAAAGGGAAATTTTATTACAAATATCAATGAATGAAGAATTGTCTCGTTAATTTTTATGGAGACAAATTAGACATTTAGTAAGACTATATATGCCAAAGTTTTTTATTTTATTTTATTGGGATAAGGGTCAAATAGGCTCTCAAAGTATATCCAAAACATCAATTAGACCCTCAATCTATAAAAAGTTTCAATTGAACCCTTCAACTTATCAAATTAGTGCAATTCACCCATTTTACTTGTAACCTTCCAGTTAATGCTGACATGGCAGCACATGGACTAAAAAAAAAAAAAAAAAAAAAAACCGGCGATGAGCACTTCCTCTCTGGTTTTCCTCCGCCGTTGCCACCACCAACAGGCGAATCGGCGATCCACCCAGCGTCGTGAACTCCGCCAGCGTTACCGAAGGTGTTGCGCCTATTTTATTTAATACTTAGGTAATCCCAACTTTATTAGCCTAATTCTAAGCCTACAGAGCCCACAAGACCTCACTGCTAGAGCCACTCCAAAGCTAAATCGTGAGTTGCACAATCAGCCAACCAATCCTTCAGTCGTGAAATCAAGTCAAATGACGAAACACTACGCTAAGTCCCGATGCAATTATATGCCTTGATTTTAGTAGAGAAATGTATGCCATTTAAAAAAAAAAATTAAGAGTGTATAATTGTATATGCATATGCATATATACAAGTATATATCAATGAAAATAAGTATACAGTGAATAGACCTTTTTTTTTTTTTTTGAAAACATGTCTATAGGACTTTTGATACCACTAAACCAAAATCCTAATTTCCACTGACCAAATGCAATGCCAGGCAAGCTAGATGACTAATTGTTAACCTGAGAAACTGGATATTTAGTATAAATGTATAATTAAACAATTTTAACTTGTTTGAGCAATAAAATTGTGTTTTTTTTTTATTCGATGATCTAATTGTAATTTAATGTGTAATTAATAGCCTATTTGATCATTTTTCCTTCAAAATATAGGCCCTATTTAGTAAAATAGTTAGCATATTAGCCAATTTTGACTTATCCACTATTAGCTGTTTGACTTAGTTAAACAATCAATATGAGTGTTTGATTAATTAACTTTTTGTAACAACTTATTGCTCTAAAATGCTAAAATTCAAAAAACTACCCAAAGTAACTTTTTCAATTAGCATTTTGAAAAAGTCATTTTGTAGTAATCAACTAACAACTAACAATTAATTTACAAAACACTTTTCTACATTCAGCTAATACTATCAACTGGTCAAACTCACTAACCTAATCAGCTAACAGTTATCAGCTAACAGCCATTTACCAAACACTCCCGTAATCTTGAAATAGGAACATGCTAGAATCTCCAAGTCCACCCCAAGCCATCAGAGTAATTGCAAACTATGAAACTATAATACATTAGTATTCATTTTTTTAAGTGCAAAAAATATATGTCAGTGCACAGCTGCAAATTTGGCAGTAGAGGCTCCCAAGAAGATACCCAAAACTCAAAGTGCACACATGTTAAGATAACAATAACATAAGCAATGAAATTGCAAGAAAGCAAACATTGAATTATGGCAGGGTTTGTTGATGAGAATGTTAATATAATTACACAAAGGCTCTGTATTTCTATAGCAGAGTCATCTCTCTCACTCATCTGTTTGAAACACTTAACAATTTCCAAAAGTAGAAGAGAGAGAGAGATGCATTTGGAAGAGGAGAGAGAAAGAGAGAGGTGTTAGCAAAGCATTGTGAAATGCTACAAGGGAAGGTACAACAAACATGTTACTGCATGAATTGTTAATAAACAAAGCATAAGTAAATCAGAAACCTAATGCATATTTTCCCATGCTTCCACATCTCTGCCTCCCTTCTATGTTTTTTTTTTTTCTTCTATTTTTTTTCTTCGTGTTTTTATATATTACCCCTGACCTCCAGTGTTCAAAGTACACAGCCTGAACAAGAAGCAGAGCACATAGACATACAGAATACAGACTACACCTACAAACACAGAATATCCTACTGTTCTATCCACTACTGCTAGCCCGAAAAAGGTAAATGATTCCAAGTGCACCAAAAGAAACTATTTCACACAAGCCTCTCACAAAATTATGCTCAGATCAGACCAACCACTCACAATGCCCATGAGCTTCAAGAGAATAAATAAAGGAACCACTAGCTCAAGGATACTTACTGATCAGTTGGGCGTTTTGGAGCAAGCAAAAACAATTTACATCAAGTGCTTGGTTCAAGATAAATATTTATTTCTTCAGACAAAAATCGCATTGACTTTTGTGCAACAGCATTTCCAAATTATTAATATTTTTCTTTAGTTCATATGGTGGTAGAATTCGCCAAAGACAATTCATGCAGCTCACTTAGCATCCATTCTTCCCCTGTTTGACCTCCAAGGACTATCGCTCTAGTTCCTCCAACAACGCAAGTACTGTGTCCCCAAGCAAATCTTGGAGGTCGACCAGGAACATTTAAAATCCTCCATGTAGGCTTTTCTTCGGTAGGGTCTAGGATGTAGAGCTGAGAGGCCGAGTGAAGACCAGCAACAGACCCACCAAAAACCAGAATTCTACCGCCAGGGAGGCTTACAGCTACATGATCAAGTCTGGGGGGAGGAGCTATGCCTCCAGGATTTCCAGCACCAGGCATTCCACTGCCCGTCACACATCTCCAGCATGGCTGCTCTTCGCTCAGATCCATTGTAAATACATCACTCGATCGGAAACGGAGAGGACCACTCTTAGCAAGCCCCCCAAACATCAAGATTTTCCGGCCACCATAAACAGATAGTGTGTGACCCAAACGGGAAGGTGGAGTCCATGCTACAGGTATCTCTCGCCACACAGGCTTTTCCATGGAAAGATCAAGCAGGAAAGTGTCACTCAGAAGTACTCCAGAATCTGCACAACCACCAGACACTATCAACTTGGTCCCATCAAGGGTGCAGGAGCTGTGCCAAGATCTCGGAAGTGGTGGGGCCAAACTTGATATTTCACGCCAGGTGGGCTGCTTGGCATCCAAATCCAACACAAAAACATCATTCAGTAAGCCTTGAGTCCCACAGCCCCCAAAAACAACAAGATGAGACCCATTCACACAAGAAAGTGTGTGACCCCAACGGCCAGGAGGTGGTGAACCCACTTTTACATGTTTCCACTCTGGGTTGCTCGAATTCAAGTCTAGCACAAATGTATCATTCATGGGCTGCATATTTACCCCCTCTCCACCAAAAAGAACAACACGATTCCCAACTGCACAAGCACTGAAGTTGCAACGTGAAGGTTCAACAGCACCTCCAACAGTTAATTTCCTCCAAGCTGCTGATTCAAGTGTAGTTAATTCCCTCGCCAATCTACCCCAACCTAATCTTTTTGCTCCAGGTACTGTCTCCAGTACACGTGTTGTTTCACTTCCCCAAGCATTCTGACAAACCATTCTCCAAAGATCTTCATTTTTTGTCAATTCATAGAGTCCTCTACAAACAGAGCCAACAGATGCAATATCTCTAGGTGTCAACCGTGAAAGAATCTTTAGAGACAGGACTTCATCACTCAACTGTAGGATCCCACAAACTCCACGAGTGATATTCCGGTTTCCATCAGAAAATGGTCCGAAAGAAGAGAGACTAGATCGATACCTATCAGATGATCTTATAGACTCCTTAACTGAAGATCCTGGCAGTGGACCAAGATCAAGATTTATTTCTGTAAAGAACTGGATACCAATAATATGAGTGATTGTCTCATCATCTCCATAAATAGGGGTCATGCGCAGTCTATTCATCAATGGAGATCCATCCTTTCTAAAATTTAATAACTCTCCTTGGAATTCAAGCCCTTGCACTAGACATCTTCTTATTTCAGCAACTACAGCAGAGTCCACTAACGGATGCCTTCTTTTAGCAAATGGACCCCTACATTGCAAAAACCGACTGCAGAAAAAAAATAAAAGAAATTGAAAATTATTAACAGAGAATACGATAAGACAAAATACAGAAGAACGGAACAGAAGAAATGTTCCAAAACTCTCGTGTCTTAACAAACATGGTATTTATTGGTCAGGGACCCAAGGTAATAAAGCCATTAGTATCTTTTCATAGTTGTAGAAAGAGACTACTGTTCATGGATACATAGCTATAGGTAAAATAGTACTCCATAATACACAAACAATAGAATTGCAGAACTGCACAAGAACAAAAAAAAAAAAAAAAAAAAAAAAGGGGGGGGGGGGAGGAGAGAGAGACTTCGATAGTCCTGCAAATTTCAATCCACTAAGGGTGGACAGATAATCAGATATACTTGGCCAATTTAAAAATTATGATGTGTCTATAACTGGGATATACTTTTCTGCAGAGTTAATGCATATAAAAACAATACATAAGTTCCTAAAACTGCAATCTGATTCACAACCTGGACCTATCCATCCATCCATCCCCATTATCAATGCAGAGCATCTAATATAAGATCCATTGGTTACACTATATAAGAATATTATAGTTGGAAAAAAAACTATTTCCAAATGGAAAACCACAAATGTATAAACTAAATTCTAGGTATTGGCAAGGAACATAGAATGAACATTAAATGAAAACACAGCTCCAATTCACAAGTGTCTGTTTATTTTGGATTTTTGGTAGATAACATGCCTTCTAGCTCCAAAGAACCACTTAATAAAATGAGAAGGAAAACAATATTCAGTAGTGTGTTTCCTTCCCCACCCCTCGATGGCAGGAAAACCACTTATTTCCCCAGGTGAATGAGAATCCTTCTATGTTGAAAACCTTCATTTCAGCAACAGAACACATTCAATTCCAAAACTTAAAAGTGTTTACGAGAACCCATAGGGCATTTTAACATGGCTTGTGTAGAATTTACAGGACCTGCAGGTGCCCTAAAGTCTTATAAGACTAGTACCTTTGAGCCCATATATTGCACATTAACACATCACCTAAAATGCATTTCCCAAGCAATTTAACTGTTTCTAGTGCTAATTGCTAAACAACTTGATACACTAAATACACACTAGCCTAAATATAGTACCAGTAAAACACACAGACCACTTCATCTTACGGGAATTTGGATCTTTTGAAGCAGACTAATTTTGAAATAATAATTGCAACAATATCTTACAAGTAATAAAGTATGGCTTATGAAATAATAATTATAAGTATAATTATAATTGTAACAACAAGAACACATGTATAAATCACAATGGGTTTATGGAAAACATAAGCAAGATGCACCCTACCTCTGCTTTGGATGGCTAGACAAGCTTCTTTCAAAAGCAGAAAGCGATCTATCAAAAGAATATATACATAGCACTTGTACGCTCTTACACCAATATTTTGTTTTCAAATATATGTTGAAATAAGCTCCCAACTTCCCATACCACCAAGTAGAGACTAATTATGGTTCCACCCACAATACCATTAGTTGGACTTTGGGCTCTCTTCCAAGCAATTTGTACAATGCTTTGAGGTATTACATTAACACCAACATAAGCTCTAACTCAGAACCCTAGATTTACTAGGCCCTTTTCTCCTAAAATGGTGTAAAAGATGTTTATAATGTCATGGAACTTATCCTTGCAAGAAACTAGAGGTTTGCAACCTAAAAGCAAGATGGGGAGAGGGGACTAGTGAGAAAGGGGTTGTGGGATCTCCCCCAAAAATAATGCTAAAAGAAAGCAATAGGAATGTAAGATTTCCCTTCCAAATATGGATTTATTATAACAATTGTAAAAATTATTATATACAGCACTTTTGATAATAGCTCAACTTAGCTGTTATCCTTCATAGCAAATTCCTGTACAACAACAATTCATCACTATTACAGAACTTTAGATTCACATACTACTATGGGAACATGCAATGTGCTCACAAGTAACTGCTTTATTACATTACACTTACAGCTTACCTAAAATCAACTGGATAACTGTTAATTACCTCAAATCAACTGGAGAACTGTTAATTCAGCAATCCAAAACAATACTCTTTTAAAGTTTCTTCCTTAGAATGCTTAATCACATTTTGCATCAGCTTTATCTTGCAAGTCAGTGATTAGGCTGTTCCCATATAGATGTCTAATTGCATCAGAATATTGTGCACTCAAGTTGATTGGCTCAACATTGTTTTCAATTCTGAGCCTAAGTATAAACTCGAGTATTATGTTTTGACACTCATTTCCAAACTGAGTTTAGTGAATTATATAGACACACTGACACACACACACACACACACATGTAAGTATGTATGTATAACCAAAACAAAATCTAAATTTCTGCCATTACCCAAAATATGAAGTGAATCATGTTGTTCAATACCCATAGGCCATAGCCACAAAGATATCTGGCGTATTACTCTGTTACCCAAAATTAAGTTATCTAATCAGATTTTGTTATACATCAATCATGAGTAAGCTCAAATGCTAAGGGGTTGTTTACCAAAATGGAAAAATGGAGGATTTTCCGGAAAAATAGAGAATTGGAGAAGTGAATGAATGGAAAATGAAAAACTTGTTTACTAAAATTATTTCTCCAATTGCCTAACTCTTCTCCATTCTCCAACTTCATGTACAATTTTGGAGAAGAGATATTTGGACTTCTCCAAATGGAGAAATGGTGAGAGACACGGGTGAACAGTGCCCCATTTGAAAAGGTCAGCCGTTCGATTCCCACTGCATGCGCAACATAGCCTATTTTTTGTCCTTTGGTCGTTTCCCCTGTGCGTGGCCATTTTTTTTTTCTCCTTTTGTTGTTTGCCCTGTGCATGCCACTTTTCCCTTTATTATTATTATTATTATTATTATTATTATTATTATTATTATTATTGTTATTATTATTATTATTATTATATTATTATTATTATTATATAATTATAATTATAATTATAAGTATTATTATTATTATTATTAGTATTATTATTATTATTATTATTATTATCTTTTTGCTTTTTTTTTTCTTTTTTCCTCCTCTTTATGCACACAAATTTGTTATTGTTACTATTATTATTATTATTATTATTATTAAATTATTGTTATTATTATTATTATTATTATTATTATTATTATTATTATTATTATTATTATTATTATTATTATTATTATTATTATTATCATCTTTGTTGTAGAAATGTACAAATGCTATATAGGTGATTGTATTTAACAAAATAGAAAATTAGAGAAATGAAAAATTGGAGGAATGGAGAAATGAAAAACTGGAGAAATGGAACATAGAAATGAAGTAAACGACCCCTAAATTTCTGGTTAAGTTCCAAAGGTTTTGACAGATCCATGCGAAATACCCATGTCCTCCAGGGCTCCAGGTCTATGTCCATTATTACATTTTGATAATATGACAAGTCTGGTTAATATAGTTGTACCATTCTATCATTTTTTTGAAATGTGAATCTTACATATACTGTGAAATACAAACTTCTTTACCCATTTCTGAAACTTGACCATCCTTTAGAGGTTCAATTTAATATTGCAGTGCCAATATTTTGCAACAAACAACCATGAGAAACTGAATATAGGTAATCAACTCATTAGAAACGGAATAGGCAAATATTGAAGAAATTAGACATGCAGGATCCCTACAGTCAGATAGGGCAAAAATGATATTCAGCCAGTCAGATAAGTTCTGCCTTGAAACAGTAAAGAATTGCAGAATACAACCTATAATAATGCAGCAGCAAAACTATTGATCGAATACTACAGAGGTATACCTAAAAATCAGGACAACAAAACCTAGACTATCTGGATAAATTAGACAAAAATAATAATAATTAGATAACAAATTATAAAGAAATCAGGGGGGGAGGGCAAGCTTTATAGTTCCAAATAGTGAGAGTTCTTTGTTTGGCATTCAAAGCCACAATACCATAGTAATAGCTATGTTCTTTGTCCTGAAGAAGGCCAATTGGGCACATATAGCTAAACAACCAAAAACTCTCAACCATCAAATACAGAATCCCCCCCTTCTTTCGATGAAATAAGAAAGAATTCACATTAAGGATTTCCCATTTCCACTATTCGCTCTACCTAGTGTCTAGAGAAGAACAAATAAGTGAGGCAAAATTCATTTCAATCCTCGTTTAGGCCGTCCCAACGAAACTCCAATTCTTAGTTTCCACAATTCACAGTAGAGTAAATCGTATTCTACAAATTAAATGCAGAAACGTGTTAAGACTCACCAGTTTCGACCGAGAACCTCTTCAGCTCTGTAACCAGTAACCATCTCAAACACGGAATTAACATAAATAACGGGGTTGTCCGGCTCGAGGGCGTCGGAGACAACGAAACCGCAAGGCGTCGGCTGAAGAAGCGAGTCTACCGGAAAAGGAAGCGGCGTGCCACCGGCATCGGTGCTGAACAAGAACCCTAACCTATCCTCTTCCTCCTCCAAATTCTCCTCGTCCCCGCTGAAATCCGAGTTGCTATCCCACTCCATCACAGGGCAAAACAAAGCTTCGTTCGATTCCCCCAAAGGATTATTCACCCCATAATTCGTCAGCCTCCAAAATCGCCAAGGAAAAATGTCAGAATGTCAATCCAGAATCGAAGCTCTTTTTTGGAAATTTCAAAAATTAGTAAATATATTTTTGCTTTTTAATTTAGGGTTTATTTCTATTTTTCTTTTATTTTTTGGGGGTTTGGGGATGAGAGAATGAGTGGTTGGCGGATGTTAGGGCAGGGGGAGAAGTGTCAATTACACCATGTGGCCTTTGAAATTCTGTGAGAAGATAATTATAAAACGCTCTGCATCTTTGTTGTACATCACGCTTTCAGTGTTGCACTAATTTGTTTTAATGTCACTGTTCATTAAAAGGATGATAATGGGCGTATTCGGGTCGGAGGACCATTACGAGGTGTTATGCTGGGCAACCATGTGCACCATGCATGGTGCACACAGTTACAAAAACAACATCGTTTTGATGTCTAACTTATAAAATAAAATAAAATCAGTTTCGATTGTCGTTAACAGCATTATATTGTGCATAATTTAAACTATACATCCATAACTTTATAACTATACATCCAGAATTGCATAACTACACATCCATAACTTCATAACTATACATTTAGAATTGCATAACTACACATCCATTAACTTCATAACTATACATTCAGAATTGCATAACTACACATCCATAACTTCATAACTATACATTCAGAATTGCATCCATAACTTCATAACTATACTTTCAGAATTGCATAACTATACATCCATAACTTCATAACTATACATTCAGATTTGCATGCATAACTACACATCTATAACTTCATAACTATACATTCAGATTTGCATAATTACACATACATAACTTCATATCTATACGTTCAGAATGTGAACTTATAACTTCACAATTATACATTCAAAATTGCATGCATAACTACACATCCATAACTTCATAACTATACATTCAGAATGTGAAATTATAAAATTATGAACATATGTTTACGTAACTAACGGCAATCGAAAATGATTTTTTTTTAAAGTAAAACGACGTGGTGCACACGGATACATGGCATAATTTGCCTGCACTTACGGTTGGAAATTTTTATTGTGGATCATGGTTCAAAGCAGTGCCGTTTTTTTTTTAATAAAATAAAAAAAATGGTGCTCATTCTGTGTAATAATATATCCAGTTTCATTATACATTGTAGTTTCATTTCAGCACAATTATAGTTTCATTTTGTTTCAAATACAATTTTCTTTGACATTATATATACAGTAGTCTTTATTACAGTGAGACTTGTTACTGAATTTCATTTCGTACACACTATAGTCTTATTATAACACAACTAAATTATAATTCTAATTCAATTACGATTTCATTGGACAATATACACTCAAATGTGTGAAAATGTTATTCAGTTTTATTTTATATACGTTGTAGTTTCATTACAACACAACTAAAATATTATTTTGATATAACTACAGTTTCATTTGACAATATACACTCAATATGTGAGACATGTTATTCGATTTCTTTTTAAACCTACTATAGTTTCATTTTAGAACAATTAAAATATCATTTCAATTCAACTACGGTTTTATTTGAAAATATACACTCAATATGTGAGACAAGTTATTCAGTTTCTTTTTATACCTGCTGTAGTTTCATTTTAGAACAATTAAAATATCATTTCAGTTCAACTACAGTTTTGTTTGAAAATATACACTCAATATGTGAGACATGTTATTCACTTTCATTTTATACATACTATAATTTAATTTCAACACAACTAAAATGTCATTTCAATTCAATTACAATTTCATTTGATAATATAAACACAATATGTGTGACAATTATTTAATTTTATTTTAGATACACTGTAGTTTCATTTTGTTCTAAACACACTAGATATACAAAATTTGTTAAATATAACGGTTGTCTTTTCCTCTGAATCTTTTATGAACTAAATATTCACTATTAATATCATGTTTAAATATTAATTATATTACTTTTTATATGTTACATTAATAAAATCCTATTAAATATAATCAACAAAATTATTTATAATAGTTTAAAATTTTGTTTTAGATTTGTATTCACAAATTATGTTAAAAAAAATAAACTATATAATTTTTTCAATTATAATTATAATTTTTTATTTGCAAATGTTTTCAGCATATTATATACATATATATATATATATATATATATATATATATATATATATATATATATATATATATATATATATATAGAGAGAGAGAGAGAGAGAGAGAGAAATTTTATAATGCAAAAGAAATATCGTGTACCACTACAAATAAAAATAGATGGTGATATTTGTACTTTACTATACTAAAGGAATATGTTTTTTTTTTAAAGATTAATATTTGATAAAACTGTCAGTGTGTAAATGCTATACACCCCGCATAAAAGTAATTGTTTTAAATCTAATTTTGATTGGTTATTATAATACTTACATGTTACTTTCTTGTTAGATAATTAAATTAATCCCAATATTAATATTAATATTAATTTAAAATTTAAAAAGTAGTTTATAACCATTTTATTAATTAATATTAAAAAATCTTTACACATTTCCATTGTTGATTCAAATGTCATTCGCTATTATTTGCTTCTTCTTTTTTTATTTTTTTTTTGAGTACTATCAACTTTATTAATATTACAAACTAAGTTAATATCTGTTCAATATGTTTATTCAAAAATCAATTTTAATGCTCAACAATTATTAGTTGTATTTGAAATTAGATAAAAATCATTTTAATATATTTATTTAACACTTGATTTTGAATAAAAATTCACAATTTATATGTCACTAGTGGTTTGCGAGATCCACAAGTAGAAGCAGGCAGCAGATGAAGTTTGCAGAGAAAAGAAGAAATTTACTTTATTATTCTGTACGTGTATTAAATTAATTAAACGAGTTTCTACTTTCTACCAAGGTATATTTATATGTACATACTACAGAAATGAAATCTGCAACATAAATATAAAATATATTTAGAGAAAAATGGTCAAATAAACCCTTAAACTTTACTCAAAAGGACAATTAGGTCCCTAAATTTTAAAAAAAGGGCAATTAAACATTTAAACTTGTCCTTTTGAATCAAATAAGTTCAATTTACCAGAAACCAACAGGTTACCGGTAAATTTTTGTCTTTAACCGCCGCTAAAAAAAAAAAAAAAAGAAAAAAAAAAGAGAGCACACCGGAGCAATTTCCGGTCGTCTGTCCGGCCGTCTTCTCCTGGAGAAGACGCTTCTCCTGGAGGAGAAGACCAGAGGTCGTCTTCTCCAATGGAGCCCAGATCTGGTAGCCTTCTCCATTGGAGAAGACAATCGGACTGGTCGTCTTCTCCATTGGAGAAGGCGACCAGCACCTCTGGTCGTCTTCTCCGGTGGTCGCCTTCTCCACCAGAGAAGACAACCGGTCTCCGGTAAAAGGCTTTAAAAAAAATTGTTGTCAAAAAATTTATTTTTTCGCCAAAATATCGTGGGAATTTTAAATGACCTGTTATTTCAGGTAAATAACCGGCTATTGAGTTTAGATGCCTAAAAATAACAAGTTTAAGTGTTTAATTGCCCATTTTTAAAGTTCAGGAGCCTAATTACCCTTTTGAGTAAAATTTAAGGACCTATTTGACCCTTTTCTCAATATATTTATAAACTTTCTATATTCTAGAAAATGCATGCATAAACAATAAATTTATATAAATCCTTATGTTGTTCCGAGTTGATGCCTTAGCTTTTCTAAAGAAACGAAATCTGCAAAAATGAGTCCACCCCTTCTTATGGGTCCGTGTGAACAGTTAAATGTTTGAGATTAATGTCATAGATTTCGTCAACTGTGCAAGTGAAGTGCACAGTTACAACAGTTATACATTGCACAGTTGGCGAAATCTAAACCATTAATCTCGAGTATTCAATGGTCCAAATCTGTTCACAGAACTCATGGGAAGGACTGGACTCACCTGAACAATATAATAGGTGGCCCGAGGCCCGAGGCCGGCCTACTTTAATTTGGAGGGAGGTTGAGAGAGGGAAGGCGAAGTGCTCTGAAGAGGAGATGGGAAGGGCTCCGATATGGTATCCCACGACGACAACTTGTCTTCCACTACCCGTCGTTTTCTATCTAAAAACGCCGGCCTCATTGGTATTTCACCCACCTCCACCTTGCATGTTAGCCTTGCCACGATTTCAGACATTGGTGGTCTTACATTTGCATGTGGCTGGAGACACAAGAAAGCCACCAGAATTGTATGCTCCACATCTTTCTCCACAACCTCATTCCAATAATTCTCCCCCCGCAATCTGGGATCTACTAGCTCCATCAATTTCGACCTTTCATACAGCCTCCATGCCTGCAATATAAAGAGATAAACTCATATTCCTAATCCCTATACGAGACAAACTAATTAAGGTCCTACATACATATTCAGGGAGGTACTGCATTTCTGATGGCAAAGTAAGATCCGTGTTTTTCCTGCAGCTGATAATTTCAAGCACCAAAACTCCAAAACTATAGATGTCAGCTTTTTCGGATAGTTCTCCTCGAATGGCGTATTCAGGGGCAGTATAACCTCTACAAATTAAAAACATCATCATATATATATATCTGTCAAGTGGCTATATATATTTAAAAGAACAGAACTACTTACAGTGTTCCAGCAAAGTTAGTGCTGAGATATGCTTGATCTTCAGGGAAAAACCTGGCTAACCCAAAATCTCCAATCCTTGGTACAAATTTGTCATCTAGAAGAATGTTGCTAGCTTTTATATCTCTATGAACAATTCGAATGTGTGAATCCTCATGTAGGTACTGTAAGCCTCGAGCAACCCCAAGAATTATTTGAAACCGAGTGTTCCAATCCAGGGACACATCACTTTTTCCTGTAACATATAATAGTACGTCTAATTGACTTTTGGTATAAAGTTTATGGGTCTACCTGACCCTTTAATTTTCCGGTGTTTAAAATATCAAGAATAACTTGTGATGAACTGTGTTGAGCATGTAACCATTAATGTGCAATTCAACTATCAGCTTAAATTAATTGAACTGAACAGAGAAAAGTAACAATATAATGTGAAGTGATGATACCATATATTATAAGGTCCAAACTCCTGTTCTTCATGTATTCATAGAGCAGCAGCCTTTGAGCTCCATCTGAGCAACAGCCAAGAAGGCGGACGAGGTTCTTGTGTTGTATGCTTGTGATGAGCTTCACTTCAGCCAGGAATTCGGATTCTCCTTGCTGGGATTTGTCTGCTGATAGCTTCTTCACTGCAGTCAGCCTCCCATCTGCTAGCATCCCCTATCAAATACAGCAGATCAGAGAAAGACCGCAAATTATATCATGAACTAGACTCCACCTTGCAAGCTAAGGTGACCTTAATTGGTCCAAAACATTGTCCTTTTGTCAAAATTTTTGATTTTTTTTTTTAGAATCCCATTTATATGTTCAAAAACTCAAAACTTAATGTTTAGAAACAATATATATTCAGAAACTCAAAGCTTGGTTTAATGTTTAAATACTAGACACTATATATATGTTCAAAAGCTCAAAGATTAATGTTCAGAAAATAGACATTGTATGTTCATTATCTCAAAGCTTAATGTTTATAAATTAGACTCACAACATTCACTCTGTCACATGTCCATGACATGCGGGCCTTGCATATATTCAAAAACTCAAAGCTTAATAGTCAGAAACTAGACACTATATTTTCATTATTTCAAAGCTTAATATTTATAAATTAGACACTACACCATTCATTCTATTACATGTTCATAACATGCCTTACATATGTTCAAAAACTCAAAGTTTAATGTTCAGAAGCTAGACGCTATATTGTATATATATATATATTCATAAACTAGTATGTTCAGAACACGTTCAGCATGATGAAACGCTATCATATCGTTTTAAATCAGGGTCCACCTTACAAGGTGACCCTAGTTCACAGAATAACTATTGGGAAAATTAAAGACAGTCATGGCTGGATTTTAGGACGTGCAAGATGAGCAACAACATAGGGCCTCAATTTTTAGAGGGCCCAATATTTATTTTTGACATGTCTACAATCCATCCTAAAAATCATCAGTTTTATTCCAAATCACTTCTCTCTCCTAATAATTATGACCTAATTAATTGAGCATGACAAAACCATTCTGTTTCCCTAAGGACAATGATGTTCAAGTCCTGAATCTGCAGATATAACTTGCAACCTGTATCATTCATCATTAAAGATTGCGCTTATACTTTTGGTAGGACTTCATTTATTTAAAAGAAAGGGACCACAAAAATTCAAAAACCAACCCGGAAGACAGTAACAATATAAAATCATACCAGAAAAACTGGTCCAAATCCACCTCTTCCAAGTAAGTTACTTGGGTGAAAGTTCTTGGTAGCCTTCTTAAGAGTGTGGAAGTCAAAATGGGAGATTGTGCTATGATTCCCACCAAAGAAATCATCTTTTGCTGAAATAAACAAAGCATTATATTAGCCAAAATGGAAAAGAACATATATAAATCTAGACTTTATCATATCTGATCTACTACAACCTGGTGGCTTTGTTACCCTATCAATTAAGGCTCTCAGATGAGGAAACTTGACAAACTTCCAGAGCACAAATAGGATAATCAACAAACTAAAGAACCCAACCACACTTCCAAGGAAAAAGAATAACCCCGGTGAAGAACACATATTAGATTCTTCGCCGCTCTGCTCTGCAAGCACATAAGGCGGCGTTGGAGAGATCACTGCACCCACAAATTAAACCATAAACCCTAAATTCAAATTCTACGTTCATCTAGAAGCTAAGTAAAGGCATAATGAAACCCAGAAATTAAAACAACACACCTTCTAAAACAAAACGAGACATCTATCTCATTTCTTCCTCAATCTCTCCGTGAGAGAAAGCGTCAAAAGCCGTTTTGATTTGATTATGTTGTTGGGTTTTTCCTTAAATGCCTTTGAAATGTTCCGAATGATGTGAGTGTTGGTTTGGACAGTGGGGAAGGGAGTGTGAAAGGACGACATGGGAAGAATCGGAGCTGCAAAATCCAAAGAGGCAAATAGTTAGCGAGCGCGGTACGAGGACGATGCTCCAATTGTAGTGTTGTCTTCTTCTGCAAGGGACGGCAGATAGATGTGATTACGTGAAGAAGATATCAAAGAAGAGTTTTTGAAAACACAACTTAACAAAACTTTCTTATGAAATTAATTAATTTGATTTTGCTCCTTCAACTATACTTTAATCGCATTTCCCTCTCTAAGTTATGGATACTAATTAGGGATGACAACAGAGCAGGGATGGGGCGGGGAGTATACTCCCTGTCTCCGTCTCCGAAATTCCGACCCCGATCCCGTCTCCGTCCCTGTCCTCATTTTCGACGGAGAATTGAAAATAATTTCTATTCCCGTCCCGGGTAAACACCTTGTCAAAATTTTAAATTATTGTAATTTTTAATTTTAAAAACTAAACTTTTAATTCTCGTCCACGTCCCCGTCCCCGTCCCCATCCCCAACGGGGACGGGAATCCCCAATGGAGACGGGGCAGATTGCCATCCCTAATACTAATTGCAATTGTAATATCATAGACCATGGATCATGGTTCACCTTTCATTGTGAATTATGATTCAAATATTGGTCCGGTTTGGTAAATGGTTGTTTAGCTGATAGCTGTTAGTTGATTGGATTAATTAGAGAGTATAACTAGTTGATAACATAAATTGATTATAGAAAGGTGTTTGGTAAATTATCTGTTAGCTGATAGTTGTTTGGTATAATTTCTTTTATTAAAAAATTAATTGAAAAAGTTGCTTTGAACAGTTTTTGAATTTTAACTTTTTAAAGTTACAAAAAACTAATTAACTAAATACTTATATTGATTTTTTAATCAAATAAAACATTAATAGTAGTCAAATAAATTAAAATTAATCTATAAACTAATTATTTTATCAAACATGACTAATGTGTCTGTAATTAACATATTATATATCTTTCAGTTAATAAATTATCTGTCCGTAAATAATGTTAGCTGCAGATTTTGTCCGTAAATAATGTTAGCTGCAGATTTTGGTGTTCGTAAATAATGGTATAGATGGGACACCCCAAGTGCAATTGAATCTACCAAAGAATTTTTAGCTGTCCGTTAGTTGGGAGTCTCCAATCTTCATTCCTCACGCCGAATTAAGACACAAAAAATAAAATAAAACATTAAACAATAGAATTTAAAATTTCCCTCAATTCGGATGACACTGTCAAGAGACAAAATAAATGAAGAATTTAGAATTTTTTTTGAAGGGTTTAAGATAAACGTACTGTCTTGTTATTATTATTTTTTATTTTTAACGACATGGTTTATTTAATTGAGAGAAACACTTCAAATTAGAACCGTCCTTTTAAAAATAAGGGTATACAATAATTTAAGTTTTTTTTTTTTTGGTATAATTATAAATATAAGATAAAGAATGTGCGGAATGATATTTATTAAAAACTTCACTATCTTGTGTAGATAATAGATTAGAAGATGAATTTCTCTCATTCAATTCTTAGGTTCCAAACCGTAAAAAAATAAAGCTTAGATAGACACTTACAAACTAAAAATAAAAATAAAAAGAAAATAATAATAATAATAATAATAAAATTTGTTGGTTAGAACCGGAACCTTAATATAAGGTTCCGGTTCCGGTTTGGCCATTTGCAGAACCGAAATCAGCTGTTTTGAACCGGAACTGGAACCGCGATCACCCCTAGTATGAAGATAGTGGGAGCAGATGCCCTCCTCCCCACCCACTTCACTATATATATATATATATATATATATATATATATATATATATATATATATATATATATATATATATATATATATATATATATATATATATATATATATATATATATATAGTAAACGTTTAAATATAACTAAATAATATAGATATATATTACTTAAAGATAAAGTGCTTAGATGATTAAGTATATATGTATGTGTTGTAGTAGAGGTTAATATGTTAAAGCTTAAGTAAGCTTGCTTGATTTATACCAAATGCATGCTTATATGATGGCAAATAGCTACTTAAGAAAATTGATCCTCGAAGATAGATCCTTCTACAGAAACAAAACAACGTATTATATATGGAGGCACCCAACCTCTTTTCCCACCCATGCATAAAAGCCATAATACTTGTTAAGAAATCATGGCATTCAACTACGGGAATATATGGCAACCATTCTAATTATAATGACATTGTTATTGCGATATACTCTCCAAAACGCATGTGAATTTCAACAGTAATGCCGCCTCCATGGCTCCATGTGAAGTGCTACAAATGATTTAGTACGTGCAGAGACTTATGTGCAGTGCTAAAGCAATAATGATGAGTCAATGCATTGGACAAACATTTTCCTTTCTAGACGCTGTTACGTTGTGCACATAGAAAAGCTTGCAAGCTGATGGTGATAGTGTTGAAGGCCCTTGCATTGCATGTGTCCACTTAAAATAAAGTTGCCAACCAAAGCACATCCAAAGCCATATAAACCTTGATGGATAAAGGATCGGATCGGAGGAGCCCGTGTTGGGCATGTCACTAAGGATTACAATGTCTCACATTGCGCTCAGCTCAATGGTGCATAAGAGTTCACAAGTTCACATTTAAGTAGTGGTTTTCACCTTAACCGAACCATAATATATATTCAAGTGCATGCATCCACCTATTCTCGTGAGACCCTTCGTAAATGTACACGCGCTATTATGCACATAGGGTAGCTAATTGTGTGCATTCATGCTAATCTAATCGTGTGCATCGAGTAGTAGCTTGTATGCATTTATGAAGGGTCTCACGTGAAGATGTGGTCTCATTTGATTATTACTCTATATATATAGGCTTAAGATTAGGTGCGGAGGAGCTCTAGGTGAAAAATGCGGATCTCAAGCCGTTGATTCATTCAAGATCAACCACTCTTTAAAAAAAAATTCTGCCACTTAGGCTAACATTATCCCTGCAAATCTCTCCACTCTAAAAATGGGTCACACTTCCACATCATCCAATTTGCAAATCATCTATTATTCACACTACATCCCTACTGTTGAGATTAATAAGAACAAGAAAAATAATAATGGCAAATAGGGTAAAGAAGACAAGATTTACGTGGTTCAGCAAAGTGCCTACATCCACGGGAGTGAAACAATGCTCTTATTCATAGTGATGGTGATAGTGGTGACACACAACCCTTTAGGGATACAACCAATATATTTATAGGCATCCAATCCCTATACAATAGGTCTACCCGTTTCACTCCTACTCCTAGTATGAGACAAACACTTATTCCTAATCCATATATGAGACAAACTCAACAATCTCCACCTTGGCGAATATGTTCTTTAGGAGAAAAGATAACTCAACAATTCTCCACCTTGACGAATATGCTCTTTAGGAGAAAAGACTTATCTCACCATCCCCACCTTCACATATATGCCCTTTAGGAGAAAAGACTTCTCCACCTTCGCAAATATGTCCTTTAGGAGAAAAAGATAACTCAACAAATCTCCACCTTAGCAAATATGTCCCTTAGGAGAAAAGACTTATCTCACCATCTCCACCTTCATAATTATGCCCCTTGGGAGAAAAAAAAACTTATCTCACATATACACATGGGTAGGAACAACCATGCTCATCCCAACTAGCCAGCCACATGCATACGCAGCATCAAACGTTACCCAGTGCATGTACACGAACCGCTTTGTTCCAAGCCATTCGCCCCTCAGCCGTCGACCTGTTATACCGCCGCGACTCATGCTAACTGTCCCGTTTAGCTGACTTCCTGCATCCGGCCCATACCAGGTCCATATCCCCTCCTGGTATCCACGCTGCCCCAACACAACAGCGCCCCTGCAAAGTCACACTAAACTCGTGTGCCTTGCCCAATGCTCCACTAACCAGCAATTACCACTGGCCAGTAACACGCACAACGCAGCACCAAACGTTTCCCAGTGCATGTTCACGAACTTCTTCGTCGTCCCGAGAAGTCCTCCCATACCAAACCCATATCGGCCCTAACCAGTGCCATACCGGCACATACCGAGCCCATATAAGCCCATACTGATACCAGCCGTGACTCGTGACAAGCTCGACCCATACCAGCCGTGACTCATGCCAAAAGCCCAGCCCATACTAGCTGTGACTCATGACAAGCCCAGCCCATACCGAGCCAATATTGACCCATATCGATACCAGGTCCACGACCCCTCCTGGTATCCACGCTGCCCAACACTACAGCGCCCCTCACCACCTTCTCATCTAGCATCTAGAAAACGTCCAACAAGTCCAAACAATGTTCGAACTTGTTACTAGTTACCGCTAGAACATCACCTTCACTATAATAAGATTCATCAGCATGTACCACGTCCGTAGCTTCCTGCTTCTTCAACTCCTTCCAATCAGCCTCTTCCAGATCAGCTGGCTTTTCCGCCTTCAAGGTTTTCAGAAGGCCTTGTTGTGCCAACAAATCTTTTACCCTAGATTGCCATAACCCAAAATTCTCTGTACCATCAAACTTTGATACCTCGAATTTTGTACTTGAACGGACCATCTCAACAGTGCTCTGATACCAATTTGTTGAGATTAATAAGAACAAGAAAAATAATAATGGCAAATAGGGTAAAGAAGACAAGATTTACGTGGTTCGGCAAAGTGCCTACATCCACGGGAGTGAAACAATACTCTTATTCATAGTGATGGTGATAGTGGTGACACACAACCCTTTAGGGATACAACCAATATATTTATAGGCATCCAATCCCTATACAATAGGTCTACCCGTTTCACTCCTACTCCTAGTATGAGACAAACACTTATTCCCAATCCATATATGAGACAAACTCAACACCTACAAATCTAATCAACTTTCAAAGGTGAGCCCAATATATTAAAATATTAAAAAGTAAAAAAAAATACAAAATACAAAAGCTGCCGCCAGGGTTTGCAAATTTGCAAACCCATTTGATATTAAAAATAAATAAAATAATGATGTGGCATTTTACACATCAGCTTGCAAATGGGCCATTTGCAGGAATAACTTCAGCCTTACGATCTTTAAAAATGTGCACTGGAAGGCACAAAGATGTGAAACAATTATTGAAAAGACTAAATTTAATACAAGATCTTCAACACAAATCATAAACAAGCAATACAAGATTCAACTCAAATTAGTAATTAGTGATTCAAGCCAAGATGACGATAGCAGCTTTCGAACGTAGAAAGCTCCCAAATACGGTGAAAGATGACAAAACAGCTAGTGATGTCCCTGACCATAGCTGGACGAGATTGACTATGGATGCTTCCTTCCAATCGGACGATCATCTTATTGGATGTGGTGTCGTGATGCGAGACTATAAAGGGAACTGGCTCGGGGGTTTCAGTTGCATGACGAAAACGAATACGGCAACGGAAGCCGAGCTTTGGGCGATCTACTTGAGTCTCAAGTGGGCATGGATCCAAGGGAAGAAAAAGCTACGATTATCAACCGACTCGCAACAAGCGGTTTCCTGGCTCAATGGTAGTCCTGATCTCTTGGGCCAGTGTGGAACATTAGTAAAATGGTACAAAGAGTGGATCGGGAAAGAGTGGACGGTTGTTGTTGACCATATTCCTCGTGAAGAGAACAAAGCCGCAACTGGATTGCAAAGGAGGCACCAAGAGGGCATTACGAGTGGATTGACTACCACACTCCACCGGTGGCAATCAGAGATTTTCTGAGAAATGACAGTGATTCTTTAGCTGCTATTACTAGTAGTAACTAGGGTAGCTGGGTAACCCCCCTTTCCTTCCCAAAAATAAAATAAAATAAATTAAAATAATGATGTGGCATTTTACACATCAGCTTGCAAATGGGCCATTTGCAGGAATATCTTCAGCCTTACGATCTTTAAAAATGTGCATTGGAAGGCACAAAGATGTGAAACAATTATTGAAAAGACTAAATTCAATACAAGATCTTCAACACAAATCATAAACAAGCAATACAAGATTCAACTCAAATTAGTAATTAGTGATTCATTCAAGATCAATTACTCTTTTAAAAAAAATCAGTCACCTACAATCTTCAAAAATGTGCACTTGAAGGTACAACAATGTGCACTGAAAGGTATAATGATATGCACTCAAAGGGAGAAATTGTGTGCTTTGGAAGAGACAACAATGTGCACTCGAAGAAGGAAAAATGTGTGAGCATGTAGCCATTAATGTGCAATCCAACAATTAGCTTAGGCTTTTAGTTGAGATGGAGCACATGCTTCAATTTGGTATCAGAGCCAGACCAAAGGTCAGGGGGTCCACGTGTTGCTTGGAACCCACCGCACACGTGAGGGGGCGTGTGAGCATGTAGCCATTAATGTGCAATCCAACAATCAGCTTAGGCTTTTAGTTGAGATGGAGCACATGTTTCAATTTACATTGGAAGAAGAAAAAAATGCATTGGAGGCAACAATGTGCACTGAAAGGCAGGACAATGTTCACTCAAATGGAGAAACTGTGTGCTCTAGAAGAGACAACAATGTGCACTCGAAGAAGGAAAAAAAAAATGCACCGAAAGATAAAAAAAAAATAAAAATTAATTTACACAAAATTACCATAATGCCACAGCATTTTAAAAAAAAATCATTCTAGACCTTTGATCTAGACTGGATTAATGGATGAGATTAAACTCTATTTTCACTTAAGAAAACTTCTACACCTGATCCGTTATATATATATATATATATATATATATATATATATATATATATATATATATATATATATATATATATATATAGAGAGAGAGAGAGAGAGGATTATGTGTGGATAGTTGCTACAAATAAAAATAAATATTATTAGTCCATCTAAAAAATAAATGGATGATGATTTAAACTCAAAAAAAAAAAATGTAGGGGCATTTATTTAAAGGACATTGTTATACTCCCTTACATTTACCACTCAAACACACACACATATTAAGGCTCTATTTAGAAAATCTAACTGAAAAACTATAAGATAGGGGTTGAAAGTTGAAAAGGAGCTGAAAGCTGAAAAACTATAAGCTTAGAGCTGAAAACTGAAGAGCTGTTATGATTGAAAGTGTTTGGTAAAATTAGCTTTTTGATAATCTGAAAAATAATGTAAAAAGACTAAAAAGAACATCTTCATAAAATTTAAATTAGTTTGTTTACATATTAAAAATGTTTAACATTTTGAAATAAAACTATCAGCATAATCATGATCTAGCATCTCATGATGAAGTAGCAATATTATTGCAAATCTCATAATAATAATAATAATAATAATAATAATAATAATAATAATAATAATAATAATAATAATAATAATAATAATAATAATAATATTTACGGTGAAAGTTGCGGATAAAGGAAGAGAGAAAATGATTTTAATTGGAAATGATAAATTATGTCATTTCTTTAAAATAATAAGAATAAAGATGGAAAAAAAAGTTAGGAATCTAGGAGCTTATTTTGAAACGCTATCTAAGGTAGCGTTCCAAAATAAACTTTTCTTTTAAGCTAGGAGCTTATTTTGAAAACATTAGCAAACAGAGCTTATAACTTATTAGCAGTTTAAAATAGACTATAAGCTCCTAAATAAATTTTTGCGAAACAGAGCCTAAATGTTTAGAAATGAAAGAAACTATAACAATTGACTAATAAATGAAAAGACACCATTTGAAACTTTTTTATTTGAAATATAATCAAAATATTTCTTGCCAATTTATGTCTCCCGTCAAAACGTTGCTTCTTACAAATGCAAGCATGCATTTTTTTTTTTTTTGTTTTTTTTTTTTTTGTTTTTTTTATTTTTTTTTATTTTTTTATTTATTTTTTTATTTATTTTTTTTTTTTTTAACAAGGACCAAAAGGTCTAAAAACTACACAAATAGTCTACCAAGCACAAGGGCCAAAATGGCCTAAGAAAAGAAAGGCAACATGCCTAAGAAACATAAGGTCCACCCACCTTGGTGGACTTCCCTTATTCCCCCAAAAAACATGGAATATCATTTTCCATAGTAGAATCAATTCCATGGCATTATTAAGCTCCACTTTAATAAGCTTTGCTTTAACAATGCACCCCCATGCCTCAAGCCACGCCACACTTGAGGTCCACCCAACTAGGTGGACCTCCCTTATACCTTCCCTTATTCTCAAAAAAACCCTTTGGGTCATCTTCAAAAAATAACACACAAAACCCATTCGGCCCTCCATTCCCACAGAGCCATTCGGCCAGGCCCATACATCAGCTCATCATTCAACACATAAATTCAGCAGGCCATTCAGGCCCATCTCCTTCTTTATTTCATCCGGCCACAAATAAAGGCCCATAGAATGCATCTCATAAGACTCAAGCCACCATTATTAATGTCATACGGCCCAAGGCCCAAGGCCTTGTGTCCCATACCAGCCCAAGCCAAATATTCCAGGCCCATTCGGTTATTAAACTCAAATCCCAGAATCTCCCATAATACAATATTCCATCTCAGGTTTTTTGCTCCCTCCTAGGCTCAGATTATTGCTCATAATCCTAGCCCCATTATTAATGCCATACGGCCCCATATAATCGGTCCATCAGCTCAAGCCTATGCGGGAATTAATTCTCCCACCAACAGCCCAGGCCTAAGGAATTAAATAGACCCATTCGGCCTTCTTCTCAATAAAAAAGCCCACTGGGAATTAACTCCCATGCTCTTGCTATTACAGATCTGCATTCTGCCTCAACATTCTCATCAAGACCAGCTTCCATCTTAACTTCATATGACTTCATATCCCAAGGAGAGATCTATCATAATGCTGCAAGACTTAGGCCATGCTTCTCAGATCACCACCTTAGCTCAGCTTCTGATCATAACCCCATGAGTCCACCATGATAGGTGGACCTCCTTATCCTCCCTTTCAAATATCATTTCACTGCATGGAATCCACCCCAATGAGTCTAGGTCTGCTTCTGCAACTTCTCCACCTTCCATCTTCTGCAAAATAACTCAATAGATGTTTCCATCTATATCTCACTAGCAACTCTTCTACAACCTAGACCACCAAGACATGTGACATCATCTCCCATAGTGGGATTAATCTCATGGCAGCCACATTCCTTCACCCAAAGGTCTTAGAATGCAGCTGCAGATCCAACTCAGCAGGGCTTAGGTCCAGAATTCCAACAGACTCAGAGCAGCTTTCTTAAACCAGAGGTCCACCACATGAGGTGAACCCTCCTTATCCCTCCCAAACCTGATTCAGCAACCAAGCTCAGAGACTTCTCAGATGGTTCAGCATAACTTCTCAAGATGCTAGAGCCCTTAGATCAGGACCATCTTCATCCTGCTTCATCTCCTCAGAACCAGCTTCAGATCTTCCACTCCTGCAAAGATCCTCCCAGACCAGAGATTCACTAATGGTGAACCTCCCTTGTGCCTCCCTCAAGCAACCAGCTCACCTAGGAGCCTTTGACAGCTCCATTAGCTTGTCTAAATATAATGCCTTTGTTTTCTCAACTATCTCTTCCTTTCTCCTTTCAAACTCCTGCATTCCCATTTCCTTTTTTAAGGTTGACATATGTGCTGCTATCTCCTTTTTTGCCTCTTCCCAAACTTGCTTCTTAACCACAAATGCTCTATGAACTACCCCTTCTAAGCTCTGATGACTACCATGCTTTTTGGATGATCCTGAGCTTTCAATAGAGTGTGTTGGGCTACCCACAGGCTCCTCTATCTTCTGTGTCTCTACAAAAACCTCCTTCCTTCCCTTCATTGGGCTTCCCATTTCCTCAACCAATCTTCTAACCTCTCCTTGAATGTTTACCAGTTTATCCAAGAAGACTCTATTGGCCTTTTGAACCAACTCATCCTCTTTCTCATGGAATCTCTCCTCCCCCAACTCTGACTAAGCATGCTTGAAGAATTGTAGCACCTCAGCTCTAGCCTCCTCAAACACCTCAACATCCTCCTTGCTCACCACCTCCCTTATTTTATTAATCCAAACCTCAAGCTCCATAAGTGATTCAGACAATCCAGTAGCCACTTGAGAGCTTTCACTATTCAAGATTTCTCCCCTTCTTTTATTTTCAGCTTTTCTGGCCATACTTTGCTTCCTTTTTTCTCTTCTTATTTGATTTTTGGAGAGCCCTTTGCCTTGCCCTAAAGAGCTTCTATTGCTCTCTGTTGAAGATGCAGGTTCCAGCTTGGCCTCTGAGCTTCCAGACCCCACACTCCCTTGTTTCCTAACATATCCAAAACCCCTCCTGGGATTTTGCATCCCTTTATTAGCAGACTTCATCTCAGCTTTCCCAGAAATCCCATTCTGGTCTTCAACCTCCACTAAGTCTGCCCATTTTGGAGTTGAGCAACCCTCCCTCATCACTTTATCAGCTACCTCTTCCATTATGTTCTCAGCAGCCTCCAAAATGGCCTCCTGCACCATGTGTTCTTGCTCAGAAATACTCAGGCCACAACACAGCCCCTCTGAGGCATTTCTACAATCAACTGGAGTACTTCCTTCCTTAGCTGCTACAAGGTTGGATAGCTTGGCTTCTAAAGTAGCATCTTCCAGTGGCTGCTTAAATAGCATATTTCCCAATGTCTCATCTTGAATGCCTTGTACTAGCTCTTTCTCCTTAATTTCATGAGCTTCCAACCCAATTTCAGGAATAGAACTTTCACAAGCATTTTGTCGAGCACCTGTTGTGCATTTATTTGCTTCAACTCCTTTGCCTATTTCCACTGGGAGCTCCTGCTGAGAATTCTCTTGAGCATTTTGCCAAGCAGTTGGTGGTCTCACTGGTTCCTCCACCCTATTATCCAGAATAAAATCCCCCCTCCTTCTACAACTCTCCACCACATGGCCAAATCGGCCACAGATGGAGCAGTATAAGGGCATTCTCTCTGCCTCAATAACTTGCCAAAATCCCTTCGATTTCCCACCCTCCTCAGCAATTTCAATCCAGACACGATCGCACAAAGGCTTAGACGCATCCAATTCTACTCTGATTCTCGCAACATTCGGTCTAGTTCGCCGGATAGTTGCTGAATCGAGAGCTACGACTCTCCCGAAGGGTGCACAGATTCGTGAGAGTATCTCAAAGCTAAAAAGATGAATGGGAAGGGAAGGTAACTGAATCCATACCAGGGACATTGGAGAATCGCGATTAGGCATGAGGTGTTGCTCCGGCCTCCAACGAGAGAGCCACAGGGGATTTCCGTCAATCACCAACTGGTTTCTCAGCCAGGCCCGTCTGCACTCTGTTTCCGATGAGAACCTGAGCAGTATACTTCTCCGAGTCAACGATCCAACCATCAGCTCCCCTTCTGGTCTCAGAATAGCGTTCAGTTTCTCCCGTAGACTGTCCAGAGGCGGACGTTCCTTCACGAACCGTCCAACTAATGAGATTTTGGCTTCTATTTCTTCCAGACGCACCCAATCCGACTTCAATATTGATACAGCCGGTCGATTTTCCTTCATAGAACACGGAGTCCAATCTGCCTTGGATTTTCCTTCGGCAGTTTGACCTATTTCTGGGAATAGATCTTCAATCGGCTCTTCATCTTTCTGCCGATCATTCCGACTCCTCCAGTAGAATCGCGTGACTGGACTGTGCAAAATCGAAAATTTCGGCGACCTAACCGTCGCCGGAAGGTCGCCGGCGGCCACCGCCAGAGTGCTCTCGGACAAACAGATCACTATGAACTACCCATTTAGCTCACTGGTTCAGTAAGCATGCATTGAAAATCAGTTTTTTATTTTTTTATTATCCATTTTGAGTGTATAATATATGGAATAAAACATATTACTTAAAAAAACACAAATTTACCTTGACCTAACTCAAATAAAAAATGGATCCATTCAAAATGACCACTTTACATGCTCTTGTGAAAACTTTTAAATTGCATTTGTCTCACATTAGAGTTTAGAGTGTTTTTGTAACCACAGTCGTTGCCATATGCTAAAATTAATAAGAGATGAATAAATTCTTGTCAGTTTGAGGAATTTTAATTTCGATTTTAGTGAAAAAATTCCCTCCTTATCTTCTTTTAAAACTCGTCCCTCTAATAACTGCATCAGTCGATATTCTTGTCCTTGAATTATGTTATTATGTTGTTAACTTTGTAAGTTGATATTTCTTCATCAATCATTCTGTAAAGTTGATGAATGGGGCACATAGATGGGCACCAAGCTTTGACAGTTCGAAGTGATGTAAGCCAAATTACTTTTGTCACTATATAACAATATATCATTAGTAGTGGATGTGATCTTCAAGTGAGAGAGTTCATCAACTCGCCCCAGCAGCTAATTAGCTAGTAGGTCAACATTTGGGAGTAGAATTCTCACTACACTACAACATATATAACTTGCAAAGAAACATGTAAAGAAAAGAAAGGAAAAGAAAACAAAAAACAAAGGGACCCGGGTAATGGGCATTGATGAACCCACCATGTGTCCTAGCTCTGCTCTGCTCGCACAATACACCACTGCTTTGTGTTACGCACTTTCAGAGGCTCCTTAGCTGCCTTTTCACTTACTTTCCCTGCCCACCATAACAAACCCCCTCTATATTCAACTTACGTCAGACTAATCTTAATCCCAGAATTTCTGTCTAAGAATCGCTAGAAAAGGTAAATCGTGAGTCATTCTGTTAGTCCCTTGATTTTCACCCCTTTTACTGATACACTCTGCACACAAGGGATATTCGTCGCCTCTAATCAGTGAAGGTCTCCCAAAGACCCCCAAATTCTTATTGGGATTCGAACCTCACATTGTCGAGTGGTTCGATCAGTTGGCCGGCTGACCTTTTATATTATTGGACGGGCATGATTTAGACTTCCCTAACCTATAATTGACATGGGCATGAGTCTTAGGTTATCGATTTGTCTTCAAAATTCACGAGTCGAGACTATTATCTCGAACACTCGAAACTAATGAACAAGATTTTAATGTTTTTGTCGGTACGTGATGAATAGACCGATGAAGATGATGAGGTTGCGTGCGTTTATCTCTTTTGTTTAAAATTGGACATTAATTGCGGCAAATGCTGCCCATCTGGTGACTGTTGTTTGATATCTTAATTGGCTTGTAACAATAATGGAAAGTGGGAGTGTTATAAAGGGCTCCCCCCTTCGGAATTAGATGCTTTTTTGTCTTGTTTCGTTTGTATTTTTGTTGTAAAACACATCTCCAAACCCCTCTCTAATTTCGCTTCAATTCTTTCACCATAATAATAATAATAATACTAATTTGTTTTCTCTGAAATTTCTTTTCCTGGTTTTTGTACTCAGAAGAGCCAGAGATGATATCGCTATCACTATCACCACAACCCTTTCTCTGGCTGGACTTCTTCGTCGTCTTCCTCGCAATCGCTCCTTTTGGGTTTTCCTCACCGATTGCCCCATTCCCGGCGCTTCCGCCGCCGCCGCCGTCGAAATCCTCGACGACGTTTAAGCCCGGAGTAGCTATTGTGGTTGGGATTCTCACTACTGCGTTCTCAGTAACGTTTTTGGTGCTGTTGTACGCGAAGCATTGCAAGGGGGGGAGCGGCGGCGGGGGGTCTGGGTATCGGAGCGGGGTCTTGCCGGCGGCGGCGGCGGCGGATTTGAGGAAGAACTCCGGGATTGACCGGACGGTGATCGAGTCGCTGCCGGTGTTCCGGTTCGGGGCGCTGAGAGGGCAGAAGGAGGGGCTGGAATGCGCGGTGTGCCTGAACAGATTCGAGCCCAACGAGGTGCTCCGGTTGTTGCCGAAATGCCGGCACGGTTTCCACGTGGAGTGCGTGGATACATGGCTGGACGCCCACTCCACTTGCCCCCTCTGCCGCTACCGGGTCGACCCGGAAGACGTCCTCCTCGTCATGGATCCTTCCGTCCTCCAGAGAGCTTCACAGGAAAAGCCTCAAATGGCGTCGCCGGCGCCGGCGCCGGAGCCGGCGAAAGGAAAAGAACCCGGGAATTTCCGGGCATCGGGGAGGCACTCGTGGGCGGGAGAGAGAGGGCCGGTAAGCTCGCTACAGATCATCGTAGAGAACCCCGGAGCTGGAGCACAGAATACGACGTCGTTCAACGGGCGTAGGTCGTTGGACAGTTGGAAGAAGAAGAGCAACGGTAACGGTAACGGTAACGGAGGAAGCGGGAAAAACAACAACCACCCCGAAACGGTGTCGTTTGGTTGCCTCGACAGAGCTAACAGAAAAGACGGGCTTTTGCTGGCGGACAAGACAGATCAACGGCGCCTGGAACACCGGATCATAGTCTCCTCCGACGCAAGTGGGCCCCGCTACCGCTGGAGCGACGTGGAGCCCTCCGATTCGCTGTACCTCCAGTCCGCCTCGCTCTTCAGCGAGAGCCGTCGATTCTCGGAGTCGAGAAGATCGACGGCGGTAGCGGGGAGTGGCAGGAACGTAATTAATGGGAGAAGCGTGTCGGAAATAACAGGGGTGAGTAGGTTTAGGAGTTATGAGGAGGAAGAGGAGCAGAAGGAGAGAAGGAGACAGCGACAAGAGGGAGCAGTAACGAGGTGGTTGGCTTGGATAGCTCACTATCCGTCCCAATCCGCCCGTACATCTGGACACTCAGATCAACCACCAGATTTCCTCACCAGCTCCGTTGGTCACAAACGTGAAATTTAACAACAATGATTCAGAACCGAGTCTCACCAACAACAGTGTAGAACAATCTTTTCAGATGCTTTATCGAGACGTAGGAGGTGACAATGTTGGAACAACCTTCCAGATGCTCTATCGGTGCATGGGGTGCTCAATCAAATTCAATGTTTTGGAACAACAACATAGCTTCCCTTTTTCTTTTATCTTTATTTATAATTTATAAATACGGACTACGGAATACTAGATTTCTGAGTGAGGTGTAAACATTACTCGATCTCCCACGTTGCACTTGTGTGTAATCTTATTACTCTCACATTCATCACAAATCATTTTTCTTGCCCACAAAATTTCATTATTATGATGATATATGATATCTTTAATTTTCTATTTTTAAGTTGATTATATTAATCTTATGATTTTGTTGTCATCAAATGTTTAGTGCTAGCTCTATTTTAATATTTATTTAATTGGATAAAAAACAAAGACGTCAATTAGAGCTTGAAAATTAAGATTTAAAGATTCTCGCTCACAAAGGAAAGCCAAGAACATACACAGACGTGCTAAGAAGAAGTCAACTACGGCAAGTGTACGTTCTTGGATTGACAATGTAGAGACCTTCAATGGTTAAAGAATTAAGAGTTAACCTTGGAAAGTTTGGAGCACAAAGAGTTGGAACACAAGAATCGAGGAAGAGAATCGTCAATCGGGCAAAGTGTTGTGATCTAATCGTTAAACCGTAGAAGATCCCTCGAAGTCGAAATCCTTTGTCCCTCTTAAAGCCGAATTTCTCTCTTTTCCTTGAGAAGAACCCATGCCTTTTTTTTTAAGAAATTCTTTCTATCTTTTCAAACCCCGTGCTTGATACTTCTTCTTGAAATCATTGTATGCAAGGTGACAATCTTATTCTCTAAGTTGTAGCCTTGACAATCATTATTCTAATGACCATAGTCTACACAAGCTGTGTGGACCATATTTTGTATACGGTCATTTAAAGTACATTTAGTATATTAAAAATGTACTTTTTGATATGGTCCACACAATAATTTGCCTAGCCTTGATAACATTGATTATATTCCTAATTAACATTGTCCTTAAGTTTAAAACTTAAACCCTTTATTCTCTTTTCCCTAGTAGATCGAATCCTTTTCAAAATTTAGAGTATCTCCCTTAAATGTTTTTCTCTATCTACTACTGTACTAGTTTTGACTCTTTATCCCCAAAATAATTTTTGAGTTTCGAAACAAAACTCCTTTTAAAGGGGTAGAATGCGACAGCCCGAATTTTTTAAATAATATTAATTTTCCTATTATTAAATATTATTATAAAGATGTATATAAATCTAATTATTTTACCATGGGCCTAGTTAACTTATTTTATAAATCATTATTTTAATTGTCAAATCCTAAGCCCAAAATGATTTTAACCCCTAAAGTCTATCAATTATCTAAGCCCAAAATATATATGTATTTTATGATTATTCTTGAGCCGAAAGGGACAATTTATATCCTACAGCACGGCGCGCGTTGCACTGTGCGTCTAAATGCAAAATGACGTCGTTTTAATTTTTAATTTTTTTTTTTTTTTTGAAATTTCTCGCCCCAGTGTATGGCAGTTAATTTTTCTTTTAAAAAAAATCCCTATTCAAAAATGTACATAATGTTATACTAGAATACACATAATTGTATACATGAATGTACATAATTATATAACAAAATATACATACTCTTTTTAAAAGATAATACACATAATCTAACATAATACATAATAAACATAAACTTTTAACATAATACACATCAACTCTTAACATAATATACACAAATTTTCTGATTCGGATGTACATAATTGTATAAAAAATGTACATAACTGTATGAACAAATATACATAATTGTATAAATAAATACACATAATTGTGGGAACAAATATACATAATCACAGCAACTTCCTCCCGCGCCTCCCAAAATGACCCCAAAACCACGTCGTTTTGGGAGGCGCGCGGCGCACAACGCGCCGTGGTGTAAGGTATAACGGTTGGCCGAAAGGAAATACCCAACCCAATATTTTAACCCAAACCCAAACATTTGACCCAACCTTCTAAAAATATATATGATGTACATTTAGTTTATTGTTTATGGACATTAAGGTTTAGGTTTATGGACATATGAAACAAATATTATGAATATAGTACATGATGAATGTTATTAAACACGATGCACCTGTAGTATAATGTTTATGTATATTAAAATTTGTTTTTGTGAACAATGAACATTATGAGCCTACTACAGAGCAAATGAATACATATATAATATACATCTAGTTTAGTGTTTATGTACATTAAGGTTTAGATTTATGGACATATAGAACAAATATTATGAAAATAGTACAAGATGAATGTTATTAAACATTATGCATTTGTAATATAATGTTTATATATATTAAACATTGTTTTTTATGAGAGTTAATTCACTTTGGCTTTATTTAAACGTCAAGTTCAAGAGTAAAATTGTCCTTTTATTGTTTGGGTGTTTTTCTTCCTCTTCTTACGTTCAATTCATCATCATCCTCCTCTCTCTCTCTCTCTCTCTCTCTCTCTCTTCATTCGTGGGAGCATTTCTTGATTTATAAGTTTTGTGACAAATTATTCATGGGAGTTGATTGATTAGAATTTATTGTGAATTAACCAGTACAAATGAGAGAAGAAGGGCTCTGTCGTTGGCGTTTGGGGTTGTCGTCGACACTTCCTCCTCTCAGGTCGCATCTCCCTAAACCCGGAAGAAGATGATTTGAAGGAATACCCACCGCCGCCTCCGCTAGATTAGTTCTGATTGATTCCCGCTACCCTGCTACTTCCTCCTCCGACGGGGTACGGCCGACACCTACTAAGGGTGCATATGGTAGTACTGCTGCCATAGCTCAAAACCCTTGTTGTAGATCTCCTCATTCTTGAACATATACAAGCTATTATTGTTGTTGTTAGCTCCTAGGTTTTGGTATTCGTTTTGTTCCTAAATCTGTGGTTGGTCTTTGTTCTCCCAGGTGGCCTAGCCCCAAGCCCTTCTCCTAACTCCTTGAAAAATCCAGACATAATTTTCTACTCTCAGAAGAAGAAGAAGAAGAAGAAGACGCCCAGACAATGAAAAGATAATTTTATCCTTGAACTTGAGGTCTAAATAACGTGAAAGTGACGCAATCACGCAAGGACTAAATGTAGAAAATCAAGTGTCACATTTGTCCAAATTAAATGACGAGAACCAAATGTAAAAAATCACTATAGTCAAAAGACATTTGCTGGAATTAACTCTTTTTATAAACATATAAAATGAACATTATGAGCATACTATAGAATAATGAAAATATATATTATATTATTATGTGTATTTAGTTTAGTGTTTATGGACATTCAAGTTTAGGTTTATAAACATATAAAACAAATATTTTGAACATAATAAATGAAAATATATGCTCTTAAAAAATTATAAATTAGTTTGACACTTAATATAAAACAATATTGTTTTGTATTAGGATGTACCATGGAAAATTAACCTTGGTAAACCATATAATCTGCTAAATTTGTGGCAGCGTATAACAAATCTAGCCCATCTTAATTTATAACCCAAGTATACATACTATTCAAGTGATTTAATAATGTTCTTCATTTCCATAATTTAAAATGGAAAGAGAAATGAAGGGCATCTTCTCTTGCTAAACAAGCCACTAAAGCAAAACATGAAATTATTAGGGAGGAATTGAAATTGCACTTTAAATTCAACATTTTTTATTTTCCACCAGATGACATGATATTTTTAATCACAGATTGTGCTTAAATAGTTTTGTCACTTTGTTATGATTTTCTTCTTCTTTTCTTTTTAGTTAATTTTCTTTGAATATATTTTTAAAATAAGAATAAAAATTGTTCACTCAAGTGAAAGATGTTTGGATTGCTTAGCCCGGTAATGAAAATCGCACGTGTGAGCTACTTATTTTTTACGAACTCCATATCTTTTTATCAAGGAGGAGATTCAAACCTGTGACCTTTAGTATGAGGTTGACTCTGAACCATATTGAAGCATATGTTCTATCAACTAAAAACCTAAGCTCGACACATGTATATTTACATATTATATATGCCCAACATGCACACTCAAACGAGAATTACCTCCAAACAGAGCCTAATCAAAACTCAATTGGATTAATCTCACCTTGCGGGGTTTGGATACTAATGCAGTATGCAATATATAGTGAAGGTAGGTCAAAACAATGCAAAATAGAGTATAGACAGTCATAACATAATCAAACTTCTTCACCCATCAAGAAAGAGCTTTTTCCAGGATGAAAATGCATGTAGAATACACTCTGTAGGTTGGTACAAATTTATTAGATCACACCCCACCCTGAATGAGAGTTTCAAAGGCAAAGATTTTGGTGAAGTAGGCAGTGGAAATGATGCATTGGCTTCTCAACACTTGGCGCATACCGGCCGCACACATATGCTGGTGATTCCAACCCTCTCTGAACGCCTTCACATAATGACATATCCTCCATCTGCAAGTGTGTATTATTACTATTGGCAATGTTACACCATCAAATATTGTCTTTTTTGGGTGACGAGGGAAACCCCACAACCCTTTCGGGTGTAGGTAAACACAGCCTTGTGACCCTAGCCAGCAAAGGATCACAAGGAAATAAACCAGCCTAAGTTACCCATAGCTGATGGGTTCAAACCAAGGGGGCAAGGAATCGAACTCGTGACCTTGTGGTTACAAGTGTGGATCTCTTGCCATCTTCGTTGGGGTTACCCTGCAATATTACTATTGGCAATGTTACACCATCAATAGTCTTTTTTGGGTGACGAGGGAAACCCCACAACCCTTTCGGGTGTAGGTAAACCACACCTTGTGACCCTAGCCAGCAAAGGATCACAAGGAAATAAACCAGCCTAGGTTACCCATAGCTGATGGGCTCAAACCAAGGGGGCAAGGATTCAAACTCGTGACCTTGTGGTTACAAGTGTGGATCTCTTGCCATCTTCGTTGGGGTTACCCTGCAATATTGTCTTTGCCTACCAATACTCATTTCATTTGCATCCTTACCTGAACTCTCTCACTGTCTTCCAAGCTTCTTTCTATAAATTCATTATCACCCTGAAAACAATTTTACAATGAACGGTGATGGCTCGTCAAACTCATAACGCTTTCCTAATTTATAAAAACTCCTACATAAAATCTCTAAACCCGTAGTCTCTAATTGGATTAGAAAGCAATGGTTCGTTAGTGTACAAATCATCAGAGACCTTCAAAAACATGATATCAATGAACTATAAATTTCCCCACAATAAGTACTACAAATGCATGGATAAACAGACATAAAAGATTCCATTAGAAAGAGCCGAAGTGCTACATCCATGTACATTAGCTCATCTAGAATTGTTGGATTTCGGTAAAGATATATGAGCATATTACCTTTAAAGAAGTGTCTAGAAAATAATCGAATATCACTTGACATTTGCGAGGTCCCAGTGGCACTACAAGATTGGTGTCCATCCAAGGCCCATACCTAAATTGAAGACAGTTCAAAACAATAGGGCTACAGGTTTAACAATTCATTAGTTGATTTAACATTGGATGAATTAGTGAATATATAAATATATAACTCAGACCTATTAATCATGAAGTTTGGAAAAACAAAAGCATATGTAGCTTTTGACCCCAATCGGTCAAATTCATCCTCTGTGGTCCCACCAAGACACTGTTGGATGCTAACTCTCTCAAATATCTATTTATAAGATGATGCCAAGTTGCAAATACACATGTCAAAGTACCCGGGTACATGAAAGTAAAACATCAAAAGTAACTATAGTTTTAAGAAATAACAAAAAAAAAAACAAAGTTAGTAGCAACATAAATTTAGTTTTTTTTTTTTTTTTTTTTTTTTTTTTTGAGGTGACGGGGTGGGGGTGTATACCTCAGTGGAGTACGTTTCAAGCTTGAGATCAGAAGCAAGAGATTTATGTGCAAATGGGACATGATAACCACCATCTAAGTAATTGTCACAGAACACCTGCAAGAGAACTATAATTTCAATTGATCTGTATTCTCGCTTGATTTTTTTTTCTCTCCTTTTTTTCTTTTGTTACTTGATTTCATTGTGTCCCTTATAGTATATAGTCTCACAGAAAGCGCCTGTATTTGTACCTTATATAATTGAAGCTCAATAAGCTAACTAAAGCATGCAATTAATAGAGATTGTGATGTGGTCAATAAAGAAACAGCATCAAAACTAGTCTGGTAAATAACCAAAAAAGTGGCATTTATCATCTATTTGTATATTTTGCAACTATGCTACACCTCTTATTTCAAAGAAGCAAACAGATAACTAACCTTCCAATTACATTCAATGGTATATTCACGTCTGCAAACATAACTCAGAGAAGAATCAATTCCATTTGCAATCAGGATTTCAGATGAACTACCCAGCCATTCATTTCCCACAGGGACAGTCTCGGATTCGTGTTCAGGAGAAACAGCAGCATCAAAATTGAGAAGCACAAATGGACCCCAAATAGCCACTTTCAATGGAATGAGTCCCATCTCCTACCCTTCACATAGCAAAACAAAAAGCACACAAAGAAAATGAAGAAGAAGAAGAAATCAGTTTTTAACACTTAGAAGTGTCCTTGATGATTGAAAGGATATCACTGTCATGTATTTATAGCATACATTCACTTCAAATTTCTGAATCCCGGTTAGTCTAGTAGCCTTGAGAAGGGCTCCATCCAACCCATATGTCCAGCCCTGCACAAGTTGTATCCTTTCACTTAGTTAATGACAGTATGACACCAATAGACTTCAATTGTCTGAATTCCAAAAGTTATTAGACTTGAAATTGAATACGTAGGGAAATGATTCCAAAAATATTTGTAAAAGAGAAATAGGACAATACAATCGCATTTAAATATAACAAGAGACAACCAACAAGTAACAACTCCAAAGCTAGAACTGACTCCTAAGTAAATCAGTCAGTTTGTCTTTTCTGAAGCAACTAACTCCATTAATAACAGAACAACCACATGACAAAACCAGGAGTGTAAATAGATTCTTAAAATTATGTTATGCTCAAATTAAAATATAATTAATTAAATGCATAGCAATTACATTCACTGATGCACCAACTCTCATACTCACCCTTGAAATTTAATATCAAAGTAAATACTCAGGTAATCTGTTCAGAAGAATTATGAAAGATAAATAAGCTCATCTGACTAAATCAAATTTACTTAGAGCAAAAAGTGAAATAAAGTGATGAAGGCTCCATTGCATATACTGTAAAGCAAGGCACTTGTTTTCTACAAAAAGCTCAATTATGCTGCAAAACCATATTTAAGTTTCACAGTATAACTGTTAAGTAAAAAAGTTCACTTTGGTCGAGCTTTTCGCTTTCTCACTTCAACCCATAAGCACAACAAAGCACTTGATTTCTGATTTTCTAGATCTTCACTTTAGTGAAGCAAGAGAGTGATGAAGTGCTGGAACATTGATTAGCTGCTTCAGGTGACAAATCAATTGCTTTTAACATGATTGCAATAAATAGTATTCAATGTACAGATGTTTATATAAAAAATATGCATACAAGTAGATGAACTTCTACAAACATCTTATTTCTTATGTACTCATATTTGCATGATGCTTCCAAGAAGACCTCAGTCACTCCAATACTTACAAAGTGGGAAACATTTTCAAAGGTATATGAACAAGTTTATTCACAGCATAATGAGAAAACAAATCATCAGTAGCTATGATGAGATAATACAAGTCGATCCCCTCAAAAAACTTTGGCAGTATGTGATCATTAAAATATAGCAATACAAGAATAAAGCATGTGTACAGTGTATTGCAGGAGCCAAAAGATTTAGAAAGTACTAGAATGCAAGCATGAACTCACATGGTATGGGCACACAAAGCATGTTCTTTTCCCACTGCCAGAAGCCAAAACAGAGGCATGATGCCGACATACATTATGAAATGCTTGTATTTTGCCACTGTCATCTCGACATACCACATATTCAATGTTTCCTAATCTGCCATATATTCAATACTGATTAGCTATTTACCAAGCACAATGTAAAAATTGAAGAAAACCCATTTGCTTCCTCCAAAGAGACACAAAAAGACCCATTTAAAATATAAAATCTGTAGTGTAGGAAGTTTTAACGATGACTAAAATCAGTAAATTGCGGAAATGTTTTGAAATTTTTGTAACAAGAAGTTCAAAGCCTTTGAAACATAGGATGTTTGTCTACTTTGGCGCAAGACACCACTAGCAAGTTATCATACCTAATATAACTTTACACTCCTTGGAGGGAGAAGTCCAATGGTAAAGTTCCCTCATTACTAACATTGCAAATAATACAAGAAAGGGTAGTATGGATGGCCCAAAAGCCCTCTAACAAATGAGATAACTCTATAATCATCATATAGTTTCACCAACCATTGCGGTTGTTCATAACAGAGTTATTTACATTAAGGAATTGCCTAAAACAGGAACCAAAATCAGCTACTGTATGGATTCTCTTAGAATGTTACCTATCAGCTTCAAATTTCCAACATTTATTTATTTATTTATTTATTTATTCCCTTTTCCCTATTTTTCTTCCTTGAGAAGAGTTGGTGCATGAAATAATAAATTATTTTTACAGTAGGTAAAAAAATCACAGAAATTTAATTGGGAAAATAGCTGCATAGCAAATTAGCAATACCTGCCGGTAAAAAATTGGCGGGGTTCATTGACTTGCTCAGTGTAGCCTGAAAAGAAGAAGTAGCAAATTAAGGGATGTTCGGTAAATCTTGTGTAACTAGATTAGATCACTTAGGCAAAGGTTATGGATTATATATTATGTTTTAGGAAATTCAAACATAAACTGGAGTAAATTACGAATTGTATAAGATGCATGATCAAAATTCATGAACATAAGCTTCGCAAAACAGGCACTAAATCAGATTCCAGGAAACACAACACCCCTGTTCAGGAAAAAAAAATAAAAAAGGAATGAATATGTGTGTGTATACCAACTGCCTGCCAGCCTCTGTAGAAGACGCGAGAGAGCTCGAGAGAGTAAAAGGAGGGATCGGTGTACCAGGAGGTGGGCGGGGTTTGCGCTTCTTCAATGGGGATATCCGGGTTGAATTCTCGAGTCAGAGAAAAGCTCGCGTTCCCGCAACTCAGTGGCAAAACTCCGAGACGGAGACGGTGCATCCCGTTTGTGAATTGCAGACGGCAATATCGAGGAGTCGACAGCGCTGAGGGCTCTCTCCTGTGAACGGAAAACGGAATCGTGGCAGCGATACAACCTGAAGCCATGGATGTGGTCTTTCCAGAGTTACCACTCTGCACTATGCAATCTCTGACTTAAAAACACATTGCCCGCCGGCGGATTATTATATTTGTTTTAGAACATCTATTTTGCATCAATTATTATTATTATTATTAAGACAAATTGTAAACTATGCCCGAGACCAATTATCAATGTCATTTCTAAATTATTTGTGGTCTAAATATTGTCCTTCCATTTTTAAAATGATATATATATTGTTCTTTTCGTACTGTACAAAAAAAAAAAAAATGAACGGTGTTATTATCCTTAGTTGTTCTAAATCTTAAACTACTAGGATTAAATTGAACAAAATTAAAGTATATGGACTAAATTGAACAAAATATTACAGTACATGGACCTAGTAGGTAATTTATTCGTGTTATTGCAACATCATGTTTATGCGCATGGACAGTGGGATGAAGAGGTGTTACGGGACCTCTTTGATGAAGTCGAGGTGCGACGGATTATTGCCACCCCAGTTGCTAATCATTTACCTGATTCGTGGCGATGGGTGGGAGATATACGTGGAGAGTACACAGTGAAACACGGATATAAACTTCTGACATCAAGTTTCACGTTGAGTAGCACCCCAGGAAATTTTGCCGCATGGGACAAATTGTGGAAACTCCCAGTTCCACCCAAAGTACATCTGCTTTGGCGTTGTACTCGGGGAATATTACCGGTGCGGGAAAATCTCAAGCTCAAGAACATTTGGATTGGGGGAGGTTGTCCACTATGCACGTATGATTCGGAAACTGCAGAACATCTTTTTGGAGGGTGCTGTTTTGCTCGGCAGCTGTGGAAGAGAGACGAAGGGCTGCAAGATAGGACGGTCCAGTCTTACATGGAAGAGCTGGTTAACGGTACGTGTACAGGTAAGAAGATACGAATGGCCGCGGTGTTTTGGATGATCTGGATAGCACGGAACGACAGAATTTGGAGGAATAAGGTATGGACAGTGGAGGCTACGCACAACCAGATTGAGCTGCTGATAGCTACCTGGAATGAGAACTATAAACGGGAGATCACTGTTGATCAAATTAGAGATGATGGTGCGACATGGGAACCACCAGCGCCGAACTGGGTGAAGTGCAACGTTGACGCGGCGCTCTCGTCCGTTGAGGTAGCCTTTGGGGCGGCAATCCGTGATCATAGGGGGCGCTTTGTGGCAGCAAGGAACGGATGGTTGATCTGTTACCGTGATCCGTTAATGGCAGAGGCTTGTGCAGTTAAGAAGAGTTTAGAATGGTTGCACAGTTTGGGTCATAACCAGTTGATTGTTGAATCAGATTGTTTAGTTTTTTGTAATGCGTTTAATTCTTGCAATTTAGATTTGTCTTGTGTTGATTTAATTGTGAAGCAATGTAAACAAATTGCTAGCGACATGGGGGACGTTGTGGTTCGCCATGTTAGGAGATCAGCGAATCGTGTGGCTCATGTTCTTGCACAGGCAACCGATTCTTCGTCTGACTCAGGTTCTTGGTCCGATGTACCACCTGATTGTATTTCCGACCTGTTGGCTCAGTAATGATATTTCCTTTGATTTTTCAAAAAAAATAAGTATCCTCATAAAAATGAACTCATAGTAATTAAACATTAAAAAAAAAAAAATTGACCTAATAATGTCCCAATGACCTTGTGATTTAGTGGTATAAAGTGGATGGAGGAAATGGGTTGAGTCCCAGTGAAGTTATTGACTTTTTGTAATTCAGATACTACATTGCAATAGAGTCAATATGAAAAAAAAATTAAAAAAATAGAGATTTTGACATATTGAAATATTAATCTAATTAAACAAAATTCTTAATGTCATTTCTTTGTTGTTGTTGCTGTTTTTTTTTTTTAAATCTAGGTGACAATTTCGTCCAACTAATCATAAACTTACAAGATCCCATTCATAGAACTACTGCAAAGGTAAATTGTGAATCACACTACCTATTAGATCTTAGTCTTTATATGTGCACAAGAGATCCTAATCTTATAGTCATTTCTTTTTTTCTTTTTTCTTTTACTATTTTCTTTTCTTTTTCTGAGTACACTCAATAATTACTTCCTTCACTTTTCAATATTATTTCACTCTCAATAACTACCTCATTTTAATCATCCATCAATATTAGAAACTAGGATAAAGTTACATTACCAAAAGTTTTCACCAAAACTTTTTCATAATTTATGAATAAATAAATAAATAAATAAATATATATATATATATATATATATATATATATATATATATATATATATATATATATATAATTTATTCATTAGTTACGATGAATTCGCCTACTCAACCTACGTAAAAATAAATAAAAATAATATATTATTAATTAAATATGAATCATGCATTGTCATATTGTGTGATTTTTTTTTTTTTATTTTATCAATGTAACTTAATCCTTAAAACTATATATTTTCCTTAGTTATAAATTATTTGTGAGTCAATTAACACTATTATAAGTTTTTTAAAAAATAAAGAAAAAAATTCACTTTTAGTTATTGGCTATTGTGACATTTATTTATATTATTTTAATTTGGAAAAATAGTCAAATATGTCTATTTATTACTCACGGTTGTTCAATTCACACCTTGGACTAAAATAAAATCTAATTTGACACATTAACTCTCAAAATTTTAATACCATCTGAGGTCCTTCGAGTATAGTGGGTTTGCCACGTTTAGTCCTAAACTTTCAAATTGACCATTTGTCGTCCATCGAGTTTCAAATTTAACCATTCGTGGTCCAAGTTAACCACCCATGGTCCTTCAAGTTTCGAAATTTAACCTGTGGTAGTCCTCTTGAAAGGACCACGGTTGGTTAAAATTTAATAGTTGAAGGACCATTGGTGGTTAACTTGGACCACATATGGTTAAATTTGAAAGTCGAAGGACCGCAAATGGTCGATTTGAAAGTTTAGAACTAAACTTGGCAAAACCACTAAACTCGGAGGACCTCAAATGGTATTAACTCTTTCTTTCACTTTGGCATTTTTTTCAAGTTTCTCTTAGGTAATCCTTTCACAATAATGATATGAAAATAACTTTGCTACTTGGTAATTTGTCACCTTCATTGTTAACTTTTATACCAATCACCCATTGATGACTTTTTTTTTTTTTTTTAATTACAAACGACATCATGGATCGTCCAGGTTATTTAGCTGCTTAAGAATACTGAGAAAACAAAGACCCAATCATGAATACTTTTGATGGTTAATCTATTTGTTCATATGCCACAATAGTTTGGCAGAAGTGAAGAAGGTGGATGATACGTATGTGATGTTGGGTAATAAGGTTGAAAAATCCCAAAATAATAATCCTACGGAAAGATTATTATTATATGGGAAAAACAGATATATAGGGAAGGAAAAGGTGGAACAATTTGGGTAGAGGTTAGCACGAGTTTGAACAGATTGTTATTTTCCTTAAAACCTTATTTGCTACCTCCCACAAGTGCTAGGAGCGTTGTAGCCTAGGTTTCCCAGGATAAAACGTGCTACGATTCTTTGTTTAAGCACCTAAACAAAGAACCCGGCAAACAAAGCAAAGAGCAAGAACACTGGTTGGTAAAGAAGAGAGTAGAAGCAGAGTTTTGAGAAGCTAAAGCTTACTGGAATTCCTTTGGTTTTGTACAGTATTAATTCCATAACAGAACTACTTTCGGGGTGCACCTGTTCAGGACACGAGAGTAGCCCGCAAGGCCAGCCAATTCCCCCCCCCCCCCACCCACCCCCCCCCCCCAAATGTCATCCATTAGTTTTGGTGTTAAGTGAGTGTTAAAATGAAGGGTAAAACTGGTAATTCAGGTTTTGCACTCTAATTTAAAGCAATTTGTCACCCCTTTTCTTGTGCTTTGAAACATGTACGTTGCTGGTATAAAATGTGGTGTAATCAAATTATGATGTTTTTTTTTTTTTAAGGAATTACCATTTAATATATTGGGTTTTCACTGGTTGCATTATTGTAATCAAAATATTTGGTTATTTATTAGAAAACAAAAAAACAAAAAAACAAAAAAAAAAAAAAAACAACATGACCAAGAATAACCATAAATTCTCATAAACTACATCTAAATACTTCAATGAAGAAATAAGGGTCAAATAGACATCCAACTGCATACCAAAGTGCAATTAGGACATCAAACTCAAAAAAGATGCAATTGGGTTTCTGAACAACACAAAATCATGCAATTAGGTCCAAATGACCTGCTTACCTGAAATTGTGCTAATGTGGCGGTTACTGATTTTAAAAATAATTTTAAATAAAATAATGAATTAAATTTAAAAATAAATAAATAAATAACAAAAACTAGAACTGCCGGAGACGAAGATCTTCGTCTCAAGCCATGGAGACGAAGCCTACTAGAGACGATTCATCTCCGGTAGTTCTAGTTTTTTTTTTTAATAAATAATTTTAATTTTAATAAATTATTTTATTTAAACTTATTTTTAAAAATTAATTATTTTATTTAAAAATTATTTTTAAAACCGGTAACCGACATTTCAAGTAAATAGGTCATTTTGGACATAATTGCATAATTTTGTGTTATTCAGAGACCCAATTGTATCTTTTTTAAGTTCGATAGTCTAATTGCACTTTAATATGCAATTTCATGGCGTATTTGACCCTTATTCCTTCAATAAATTTCACATCTTGCATCTTATTCTATCTCCCCTCAAATTCAATTTCATGAGAGGTAGGGGCAATATTAATATCTATTGTCATGAATCATTACTTAGGCAATTTGTTGAGAGATCTTCACAGCAGGTTGCTCCAAACTGTCAGATATTTTCTTGGTAAATCAATACCAATATAGATTAATATTTGATGCACCGTCGATGTATAGATGCTATACACCGGCAGTGAATGAGGAGATGACACATCATTAAAAACTAAAATCAATACTAATTGAGTTCTTTTATGTAAAATAACTAAGATTTGTATTTTTTTAAGAAACTTCTTTTATTTCTAATTAACAAAATATATATATATTTTTAAATATATTTCTTACTTAATTATTATATATATCTAATTATTTAATTATTATTAATGAAAGATTAATAACTTGCACGTTAATTAACGTAATGCATCACATATTAATTCGTCAGTTAATTATTAGATTAATCCATTATTTAATTACAGGATTAATTCATTAATGTTAATTAACTTGTACAAGAATTCTAATTAACAATAATGTTAATTTAACAGGTTCTTTACTCAAACTATTATAATTAAGAATTCTAATTGATATCTAAAAATAAATTTCTAAATTATTATATTTAAAATTAAGAATTCTTTAATTTTAATTAATAAAAATCATCTAATTTCCTATATCTATATTAATAACTCTTAAATCTATTTAAACCCCTAAACTCCTAAATTTAAATTACAACCTTAGTTACTATTAGAAACAATTGCAATATCTTGTAAAAAATTGCAATATATATTCAAGGAATAAGGTTCAAATTGGCCACTGAACGTTACCTGAAAATGCAATTAGGCCACTGAACGAAAAAAAAAAGTACAATTAGGCCATTGGACACTCAAAAAATGTGCAATTAGACCACTGAACTCTCCAAACGTATGCAATTTTACCGGATAGCAGGTTACCATCAATTTTAGCAGGTTACCTGCTTACGTGGCAGCTTAGTTGGCATTTTTAATAATTTTTAAATAATTTTTAGTAATTAATTTTAATAATAAATTTTTATAAAAAATTAGAAAAAATTAAATAAAAAATAAAATAAAGTCGTTTTTATTTAAAAAAATTTAATAAAAAGTTATTATTAAAATTTATTAAAAATTAATTAAAATTTATTAAAAATGCCAACTCAGCTGCCACGTAAGCAGATAACCTGCTAAAATTGAGGGTAACCTGCTATCAGGTGAAATTACACATTTTTGGAGTGTTCAGTGGCCTAATTGCACTTTTTTTTCGTTCAGTGGCCTAATTGCATTTTCAGGTTACGTTCAGTGGCCAATTTGAACCTTATTCCTATATTCAATAATTTAAAATATCAACACTTAATCAAATATTATGTAATAGTCAAATTATTGGATATTGGTGTGTGGAGTGCATTACATTGTAACTTTTTAGGAGCGTTATGATGTGCAACCGTGTGCACCATGCATGGCGCACACGGTTGCAAAAACGATGTCGTTTTGACATCCGACTTGAACAAAAAAAAATCAATTTCGATTGCCGTTAACGGCGTTATGTTGTGCATAATTTGAACTATATAGTTCATTCATTCTGACTATATAGTTCAAAAAAGTTCAGTTTCGATTGCCGTTAACGACGTTATGTTATGCATAATTTGAACTATAGTTCATTCATTCTACATATATAGTTCATTCATTCTGGATATATAGTTCATTAATTCTAGATATATAGTTCAAATTATGCACAACATAACGTCGTTAACAGCAATCGAAACTGACTTTTTTTTTTTTTTTTTTTTTAAGTCGGACGCGTCGTTTTTAATCAAAACGACACCGTTTTTGCAACCGTGTGCACCATCGGCATAATTTGCA